ACATATCAATATTACAACCATCAACAATCTTACAAAACTCTCCATCACCCATTGACACTACGACAATCCTACGTATGTATTTAGAAAAAGTTAATCAGCAGTGCTTAATAAAAAAATCATCAAAATTATCAAAAAATAATGTGCCTATGTGGTGCCTCTTGCTATATTGCAACGTTAACCAAACATTGGCTTAGAAGGAATAGAGTAAAAACCTTTGATTGGCCTCCCTCATCTCCCGATCTCAATCCTATCGAACACCTGTGGGCTGAAGTTGACTATTGGTTAAGAAAGCTTCCAGGCAATATCTCGAGTGAAAAAGACCTTTGGGAAAAAATCTAGGTAGTGTAGAAGCAAATTGATATCAAGACCTGTACGAACCTGATTTGTTCAATACCAGAATGAGTTCGTGACGTTATTAGGGCCCAGGGTGGCTATACTAAATGATAAAAGTGTAGGGGAATTAAATAGAAAAAAAAAATTGTTTTTTTAATATAAAAAAATTTTTTTTATTTTACAGTCGTGCTGCTATAAAAATGAGCAAAAATGATGCAGCACGTGAATTCAAATAAAGCTCATACACCTGAAAAATTTAATTAATTAATTTTTTAAAAAATTTTTATTGGTGAAAGTGATACTATTTACAAATAAAAAAAAAAAAAGTAAAAGGATACATGCAGAATTGCACAAGATAATTCGATCTAATGATTTTTTTTTTTTGCTGCATTATTTATGATCGCTAGTGTATTACTTTACAAGTTGAATTAGATATAAAGACAGGTGGATTCAGTTGTATTCAGTTGATATAATTAAAGTACAGCACGAAAAATTCAAGTTTGCTTTGTATACTTTCACATTTCATAGGAAAGATAGGCTACACAAGCCTCGTGAAAAAGTACTTTAATTCGAGTTGACATGTAGTCAGCAGATCAAAAAGATGGCTAAGCAGTAATTTAACGATTAAAAAGCACGTGGTCAAAGACCGGAGCCACCTCGGCCGGCAGGGGGCTGAACATTGTATAAGTAATCAACATCATAAGAAAAATAAACAATGATGCTTCATCAACTTCTGGATCTGGTAATTATGAGGTAATCATTGACCCGAGCAGGATTCAAATCAAGTACAAATAAGTATAATGTTAAATAATGATGCAAACTATGTGCGTAGTCTATGTCTAACTAAATTGCCAAAACGTTTCTCTCGCAAAATGAGTAAATGAAAAGTGAAAAACAAAGATGACAGCCAAGACGGAAGCACAAATTCAGAAGATACAATTGAGGTAAGCACGCTACATGATAGTCAAGGGCATGAAACAAATGAAATAAACAGACAAATGGATATACAGATAAAAGCTCACGTGGAAGCAATAATCCAGTCATCAGCAATGTCAATAATAGAAAATATGTGGCAATACATGGACCAGCAACTGGAAGTGCAGAGAGAATGGAGCTTGAGATGCATAGAGATGATTAATTAATGTTTTGCATAGTTAGAACAGACCAATTTGATAGGTAATGGAAGTAACATCAATCGACCCAGAGATAACGAACCACTAACAAAACAAAACCCTGAGACTAGCAGAATATACACAATGCAAACAACTAGTACAGATTTCAATACAGAACAAGGAGAAGGTAACTATCTGTCAACTCCAATAATTAATTGCTTAATCACAAAAATCAATTCAGGAAATACCCTTTTGCAAGAGACAGAGTTAGATGATGTCAAATCAGTGAAATACAAAATCACCAACAGAAAATTCCCTGCATTGAGCTATGTGTCATTAAAACCATTGTCAGATGTACAAGGAATGACCAATAAAGAGGCCATTGCAACTGAACAAATTCGGAGATGGTGGTTTCTGAACTGGAACGAGGGTCAGAAGATTATTGAATTATTACCACTCAAACCAAGCTTACCAAACAAAATATAAAATCACTCGCATTCAGTTCATTCTTTAACTTGCAAGATTTTGCATACAAGAATATTGTTAACAATGTGAAATATGAAGATGAGAATACAGTATTGCAGATTTCTGAAAGTGGAACAATATCAATAAAGAAACGCACACGTAATACTGCATTCAGAGACATATCTGAATGGTTAATGGCTTTTAAAGCATATATGGAAGCAGTACTGATATTATACGAGAATCGTGAGCAAGAATTAAACACTATAGAGATCACATTAATGAATTGTGCATGAAATACGAATTTGCAGCTGTGATAAGGTATGATGAAGATCGATGAGTCATGCTAGCAATTAATCACAACATCATGTTGTTAGAAAGAGACATTGAGGCAGAAGAAAAAATCTTCGATATTACCACAGCAAAGAAAATCAAAATCGAAGGGCGCCGCCCAGGGTGGCCAAATATTACATGGCATGATGGTTGTGAGATCTGTATTAATTGAAATAAAAGAACTTGTGTAGGAGAAAGAGAATGTGGCAGAGTTCATGCCTGTATTATATGTAGGAAGACAGACCATGGTGAAAAGACCTGCTTTTGCAAGAATAAAAGTTTAAGCAAAACGATTCAACAAAGAATGATCTACAAAATAATAAATAGTTAAAAAAAAAAAAAAGGGGGGAAGGAGTGAAGAGACAAAGATCAATAAAAATATACATATTTGTATGAAATCAAACATATATAATAAACATTAAATAAGAGCGAAAGATATATTATGCTGCTTGAATCCCCATGATATATACATATGAATAAATATACTCATGAATATCATACATGTAAAAAAAAAAAAAAAAAAAAAAAATTGTTGACTTACATACTAACAAGGTTTATATTTAATAGCAAACACAGTAGAGAGACGGAAACTATGCATGAGACATCTAGCACAGTTTAAAGCATCCCGAGTATTCACGACTGCATCACAAACAAAACTGTTACTGCAATCCGTAAACTCGACTATTGAGATATCACTACCAAAAAGGAATCAATTCACACAGGAAGAAATAGAGATTGCGGCACAGTTAGACCCAACAGTATTTAATGTAATGACACTTGTTAATAAGTTAGCATTTGGGCACCTTACACAAAAGCATCCAAATTGCCTGTTTATCCAATATTTAATGAGAGGCTTAGAGCAAGGTTTCCATTTTAATTTTTCTGGCAAACGTACAACAATGATTTAAGCGAATCTAAAGTCAATCGAGATAGAGCCTACAGCTTTTAAAAGCTATATAAGTAAAGAAATAGCAGTTGGTCGTATGTGTGGTCTATTTCTTTAGAAAAGCCACCATGCAAGATGTTTCAAATCAACCCGTGCGGCCTAGTTGAGAAAAAAGATACTAAGCCCCAAGCATACCGTGTAATTTCACATTTATCTTCTCTATTTGGGGCGAGTGTAAATGATGGGATAGATAAGATTAAATTTGCGACAAAATACAAAAATATAAACCATGCAGTAGAATGGATAATGCAGTATGGGAGAGGTTGCATGCTATCAAAAGTGGATATTCAAGATGCTTATCGCATATTACCGATACATCCAGTAGACCAGATCCTCCAAGGTTTACAATGCGATAGAAAATATACTTCGACAAAGCTCTAGCATTTGGAAACAGAGCGTCAGGTGGCATTTTTTGCCGATTTGCAGATGCTATTGCATGGATCGCTGTCCAACATGGAATCAGATCGATAATCCACTATGTAGACGATTTTTTAATTATCTTACAAGGTCTGGCAGAGCAAGAATTACATCAATTTCTTCGAATATTAGCAATAATGAATGTTCCATATAAGCAATCGAAACTATAAGGCCTGGGAACAGCACTTATGTTTTTAGGAATATATATCAATACGATAGCATTGTCAGCAACAATACCAGAATTAAAAAAGGTAAAGATCCTGCAAATGCTATCAGAATGGAATAAAAAGAAATGGTGCTATAAGAAAGAGCTACAGTCGCTAGTTGGTTCACTCATGTGGCTGTGCCAAATCATACCCCAAGGCAGACCTTTTGTGCAATGCTTTATCAAGGCTTTAGAAGGTTCTAATAACCCGAAGCATCATATCAAAATGACAAGTCAAACGAAAGCAAATATTATATGGTGGTTGAAAATATTGCCAGAATGGTCTGGCGTGTATTTCTTAGAAGACAGGGCATGGCTGCGGCCCGAGGTTCAACACTTATTCACAGACGCATCTAACCTGGGCGGCGGGACAACTTACGACATGTACTTCACCGCTTTTAACTGGTCGAGAGCGATAAACATCACCAAACACAATATCCAAATACGCGAGCTTCTAACAACCCTTATCGCGATACTAACTTTTTCACCTTTATGGATACAAAAACGTTTTATAATTTGGATGGATAACTTGGCTAACGCAGAAGCGTTTTATGCGGGATATTGTAAGAACCCTCTATTAAACGACATAATTGCAGATATATATATGGCTCAGGTCCGAGGAAACTTCTCAATCAAACTAGAGCATATAAGTGGGAAAGATAATGTGGAAGCAGATTTGTTGTCGCGCAATGGCCACAGGGAGTTTATGACACGGAACCCCCATGCACGCTACTTACAACCAGTAGTCCCAAGCAATTATACTAACTTGATACTCACCATCCCATCACTTTTACAATAGGACCACGGTATAATATAACACAACAAAGAGGAAGCAAACGACAACAACCAGCATCGAGACAAACAAATGAATATCCTATGACCACGACAACACTAAATGAGCAGGCGGAAAAAATTTTAGGCATACACCCTCCAATGTATAGAACATATGACGCAATAATAAAAAGGTATCACAGATTGGCAACAGAACAAGGATGGACAAACAGCAATGGAACAATATGGCCCATATCAAAAGAAAATTTAATAAAGTTTATCGCTTACTTACACAAAAACATGACACCACAAACCATAACATCCTATTTATCTGCACTTAAGCATTATCATACCATGAATCAGATCGAATGGAACGAAGTTCGGTATGACCCTTTAGTAAAGCAACTCTTGAAGACAATAGAAGGCGGTCACATGTTTCACCCGGTGCGCCAGAAAGAGCACATTACAAGAACACAGTTACAAAGAATGCGCAATGGCTTAAACTTCGGCAACACAGAAGGTATATTGTTTTGGTCGATAGCACTGGTAGCATTTTATGGCCTGGCCCGGTTAGGAGAGTTACTACCACAGTGTCAGCAAGGAATGCATAAAATACTGAAGATACAAAGCGTGAGATTTGATAAGGCCGGTAGTAATACTTTCGCGACGATACAGTTACCCAGAACAAAGACCCATAAAACAACAGAACGTCCAATCTTAATTATCAATCCAACTAACGATGAATTATGTCCAATTCGCGCATTAAAAGCCTATATAATTCGCAGAACAGAACCAACGTACGCGCAAGGGAAGGACACTTTATTCGTGAAAGCCAATGGTGACCCAGCCACAAAGCATTGGTTCATAAACACACTTAAACTCCTCTTACCGGAAATGGACGTAGCGGGAAGCTTCAGGGCAGGCGGCACAACAGAGTTGGTTTTACGCGGAGTACAACTGCCACTCATTCAGAAGATCGGCAGATGGTCATCCGACGCATTCTACAGATACATTCGGGCCCACCCGGTAGATCGTTCATCAGAATAATACCAAAAAAAAAAAAAACATATATATTATATATAGGCTTAGCACATATTCATAGCTCATCATCTTATAATTAATAAACGGCATCTTTGCAGCCAACAACTGGTCAGTCGCAATTAGCTTCGAATGAAAATGACAGAATTCGCGCACTTCTTTTCTTTTATTTTGGAATAGTCGAATCCTGCCATTTTCATTGACAACTGCTTATTTCCATTTGTCGGCCGGCCTGCGTTACGCAGGCGGGAAACCACCGGCCGTTACTGCGCCATGCCGCATCTGCTGCCCATGGGATACCCGGCGCAATCTCAATTGCTACTTTTCCGGGTGCATATCCCGTTTCAGTTTATTTGTACATCGATAGCAACTGATGTATGCATTCTGTAAATAAAAAATCCATTCCGGGACATTACTCCGGATTCTTCCAAATATATCACGTGTGTGCAATGCTTTTCGAATGTATAAATTACGATGTCAATCAATTGTGTAACATGGTCTAGGACGCCACATCACGTGAGCGGAAAATTTTTGTTGTCTAGCTATTAAGATCTCAAAATAACAGTACTGAGCTTTATCATATTTTATATGAATTGACACAAAAATAACTATACTAATATAATTTGATATATACGTAGAATTCAAGTAGTTTCATCAATAATTTCGCTAATAATAAAAATTAGGTCTAACCGATAAGTTAGGCATCTTAACAATCAGGAAAAGTTAGTTACTTATTACTATTTTTCATCTTTTTTAATAAAGGTCAACAAAGAATTGTCGATAATGAATTTGTCATAGAACTCTATCCTTTTTTCTAAATTATTAAGTCGTTTCTGCGTTGAGTCATTAAAACCTTCAGTGGTATCGGGTTCACAAACAAATGGCAAAATGTTTTTTTCGTATTGATCTTTGAATAATTTTGATTTTTGTACAAATCCCCATGGTGAGATTAAACCAGGTCCTAGCAGTTTTGGTTTTAAAAAAAATAAAATAAAATAGTAATAAATAGATGAGTAAATTATTTAACTATAATTTAATTTAAATAGTCAACTTACCAAATAAAAATATATAAAGAGCTACAACACAACTCCAAATGCCACCAATAACGCCTAGTATATTCAAAATCTATTCATTCAAAATAATGATAATTACTAAGGAATTTTCTGTATAAAAGTGTATCATATAGTCTACTTACGGTTTTGCTCCTATTATTGTCATTATGGTGAAATTATTAATAGGTGATACAATAAGTGATAATAAAGTATTTACAAAATGAGTTGATCAAGATGGTTTTTCACCTTTCCTCTGTTTCTTCTACTACAATAAAAGGAGGAGACATAATAAAACGTAATACAGCATAATAACTATTGTTAGTCCCTATAATTATTAACAGTAATAAGAATTTTAAGAATTTAGAAAGTTAAAAAGAAAATAATAAAAATAACTTTTATGCTTACGAAGATCTGAACTCGCAGTCGTAGCAGTTGCTGCATTATTAATTATTAATAACATAAATTATCATAATATTTTAGAAAATTAAACAAATTGGATATATAAGATTTAACTCTAACCCATATGCGATTCAAGATAAGGTATGGTAATATATCTTTGTCTACCAAAGAAACTTAAAATATCTTGAACCAATGCGTGTCTAATGCGTCTATCGAATATCCATTCATAATGCTACAAAATTTTTTTAAAATGTGTGTGAATTTGCAAGTTCATCACTTTCAAAAAATTATTACTGTAAACATACATATACATACAGCTATGTCATTTTTAGGTTGCCCAAAAAAATACATGTTCTTCAGAAAAAGTGATTCAACAAATTGAATTTGGGAACCCGCAATTATTGGATTTAAATAATATTCTAGAAAATCGATTATTTATTTACAGTATTTTCTAATTAAGCATACGGTATAAAATAATTAAGATCTTAAAAAGCTCTACCTTTATCGTATGCATACATCTCCATGTAATCACTTTGATTGGAAATATTATATCTAGGATCTGTGATATTTATCGAAAGGGTGCATCCAGTATAAGTAGATACATAGTAATTTGCCGAAAACGCAGCCGAATATTTAGATTGGGAGGTATCATATATAGTTTTATTTATATAGTTGTTGCAATTATAAGTTCCTATAATGAATAATTCGAGTCAATATGCTATATGAATGATATGAAAAAAATTAACATAAATGTACAGAATATTTACCTGTGAAATTGGAAATAGCACAGTTAATCGTAAAATTATAATTGTAAGAGAAAAATATGTCTACATTGATTTAAAAAAATTTATATTATACATTATTTGATTTAATTTCATTTAATATAACAACTGTTTTTAACTTAAATGAACAATCCATACCCGGTATGGGCAGATTATCAACTACTTTATAAGTTACATTAACGCTCGGCAGTTCGTCATGAACTCCAATGCACAATACTATAAATACAGCAATTAATAACCCTACAAATATAACGATAACAGAACGTCGAAGAATTATAATCGACTTTGGTTCGTTATGTCTTATTATGAATAAATCAGTAATCATTTTTGAGTATTGTTTATTTCAAAACGAAAGAAAAAAAAACAAAACAATCGCATTATAATCTTTTAATTTGCAGTATTTTAATATCTGACAAATGCTCTATATGGATGTAATAATTGTAAGTTACAGTATTGTTTGTTTTGGTGTACGCCTACAAATTCTAAATTTTACAACTATCTATCAGTTATTTTAATATCCTTATTAAGGCGCGATAAGTGACACGGCTGCGAATGTTAACACAATTAAAAAACGATTGACCCTTCATAACCGCCACAAAACTTTAATAAACGTAACACCCTGACTACAATTTACCTATCTCACAAGTAAATTTGCTATTTGATTGATATTTATATAATTTTTTGTTTTTTTTTTCTTTATCTTAAAAAAAAATTATTAAGGTTTTTGAATACTGCGTATATTTTGTTAATATTTTGTTAATATTTATTTATCCTCGACAAAGTAAAATTACAGAAACTAGCTTCTATACTTCTATATAAAGAAATAGAATTCTAGAATAGTAACATTTCCAAATAAATAGTGATCGGGTTATTTATTTGTGTCGGTAATACGTACAACAAATACATATAAAGAATAGTTGTATTAGAGAACCTTATTCAGATCATAATAAGATATTTGCCAAATGCGTGCAGGGGGGTTTGATTGAATAATGAAATTTTATGTCTGTCCACCTTTCAACCCAATTTCCTCATAATATCTAAAAAAGAAATTTGCTTTTTACGTTTTTGTATAGTACTCGACATTAAAAGAAAAAAATTTTTTTTTGAATCGTTAAACAGAATTAGTACGTATTAAAATGTGTCTTCTTGTCATTTTTATGAATACTCGAAGCATTATTTATTTATAGCTTTTGAGTATTATTTTTTCATTTTTGCTTTTGTTCTCTTCAGATTTCTTATTGATTTCATGAATTGATAATCGCTGATCTTCAAAGAAATAGCGAGAAGCCTTAATGAAGGATTTGTTAGCTAAATATGATTAGTGTTATCTTGTCGTCTGATTATGATAAACCAATTTATCATGTTTCCCAAAATTCAAGGTTGGAGCGCATGAGATTCTAAAACTTCGAAGTTATGCACAGCCACAAGTATTTGTAGAATTATTTACTGAAAAGTTCACATAAGGATTTACATTAAACCTGACAGAATCTCGTAATATTTTATAATACGTACGTACGTTGTAAAAGGGCGAATCTGGGGGTGACTATAATTAATATCTAAACCTAGTGATTGTACTCGGTCAAAAAAACGTTACCCGGTTAAGCGGCAAGTATACCCGCGGGTAGGGATGTTAAAAGTGCGGTTCGGTTCGACTGACTCCAAAAGTCGAGTCTTAATTAAAGTTCGGTTCCAAGTCAGACTTGGAACCGACTCGCATTGTCACGTGCAACTTGTAGATTTAAATACGACTTAGGTAGCACACCCACAAAAATTGTTCCTCCTCGTAATTTTTACTGAGAATAAAACGTTGGTGTTTGGGTTAGGGTTAAGGTTAGGGTTAAGATGATAAGTTTCTATTTGTAAAATTTCACGTGCATTTTAATTAGGTTGCAGAAGGTAGTTTATTAACTAAAATTTCGAGTTATTCCTGTTTTTGTTTTTGCAAAAAAATTGGTTCGCTTCAATTGTTTACGTTACATCAGATCTTGAAATTTGATTGGTCAAAAATCACAGGAGGGAACACTACCCCAGCAGCACCGACAGATTTTCACTAATCTGCATTCTAGAACCCTCGAATACTTAACAGCCGCTAACAAAAAGCCTCAACATTTATATAAGATAATAGTTTGACTACACATCAATGTAATTCATGGAATGGTTTTGGTTCATCATGATAAATAATGTAACAGTTACCAATTATCCTGAAGACCGATTAATAAAAGAAGCTCAAGTGTTATTACTGAGCAAGAGATTTAACAAAAATGAAAAACATTCTTATCCAAACTTATAAAATAGACAATTGCCTATGATGTAACAATACATGAATACAAACATGGCCAATAAGTAGCGTCATTTGACGTCCTATGATAATATCATTATTTTACACAGAAGTAAATTCGAGAGAAGAACAAATAAATAAAGTAGTAAAAAGATATTTTTCCCCATTAAAATCATTTAATGGGACATGATGATACCCCAAAATGTGGTAAAGAATATTATTCAGAATTACTAATAGATATAAAAATAAAATAAAATAAAAATTTAACATTTTCTCACCAAATTGTAAACTTGTTATGGGAATGCAATAATTTAGATTAACAACAATAATTTTTTAATGTTTTTTATATAAGTGAATTATAACAAAGCTTAAATCGACTTTAGATTATTTACCGCAAAAATACCAAACTAAGTTCTTCGCAGTTCAATGTAAATTTTAAAGCTTCATTCCACGTAATGTTAAAGCCGTTATTGTAAATTGTACTAGTTCTTTTTTTTTTATAGAATTGGTACCAGGGATAAGCAATTTTACTTCAATATATGGATCAATTACTTCACCTTTGTGAGAATCTTTTGGTTTAGGAAGTTGTTGTGCAGAAATTATCTATTTTAATGTATTAGCCAAAAGAAAAATGGGTGTTAATTGTAAACCAAATAAGTCGAAATCATCAAGAAAACCTAAATTGATTTACTTCAATTGTCAAAGTTTGTATCGGTGATTGTGTATTTATATCTGAGGAAATTTCAGGATTGCGTAATCGCTCCGACTTGAGTACATAACCACACCTACCATCGACAGAAAACATGCTTGATTAATTTGCATTCCTAGGTCTGAATAACCCAGTACAAATTTATATAAATGTTATAAATGAAAAAAAAGTCATTGTCAAAACTAACCAAAAGTCTGCGAATTTAAGGCGACAATTGGTTCCCAACCATCCATTAATGATGTGGTGCAAAATTTGAAGAATCTACCCGAAGAACCACGGATATATGCGTGTTAATTGTTAATTGGCGCGTATTGTGCCGAATAAAATCGGCCTTGTTAGATTTCAGAAGCTGTAAGAAGCTCTATCGGTAAAGGAAGACACTTGATAGTACTTTGAATTCTCCACACATTTTATAACTTATTAATTTTAGGAAAATGTAATTCTTAAATTTATAGTTTTGATGAGCGTACTGCGATTAAATCCTTTAAACTTAACAGAATAGCAGTAGACTACCAAGTCTGAAAGGGCTTTTGCAATTCGCATTTCAGTCTTAGTGGCTTTTTTTTTCTTTTTTATTAATAGAAGAATAAAATTATTAATAGTAATAACCTTAATGGTATTAATATAATATGTGAATACATTAATAGCATCCAAAAAAAGACATGCCTTTAGATAATTCAACATCTGACTCGGTATTGGTAGTAGATTCAGCGTCGGTAATCGAGTCGAGTCCCTGAGAGGTTAAAATTGATATAGGCGTATGTTAATAATGTTTGTTAACAAGGTATTTATAAGAGCAATCTATCACTAATAATAAAATTCTTACATTAAATATTATTTTGTACAACAAACTTGCAGGACTCTGTAATTCTGTTTCGTTTTCGGATAGGAATTTAGTGACAAGATATTCACCCAGAGTGTTAAGTAAAATAGAAGACATTTGGTTTTGTCGCTCAATACTACGATGAACCTCAAGTGATAATATTAGTGGATAAGGACTAGCTTCAAATGCATATGCACGGATTGCCGAAATAACTTGATTTAGTTGTCCTAATTTATATTAAAATTTGTCACTATAATTATAATATAGCAAATGACGTGAAAGTATAAAATTTAATTACGATGTATAACCATGGAAAACTACGGGACCATCAGGTCCGTCCCAGCAATCAACTATAAGAGGAACAAATATGAATTATAAGTAATATATAAGGGCATGCTAAAGTATCTTACAAGCACAGAAGTATGTATAAAAACTATATTTTATGTATGAGATAGTTTCATATTCATACTTTCAACACAACGACATCCCTTCCGTAAGACGCGTATGTATCCTTCGATTGTGGATTCACCTGCCAGCTGATGTCCTAAAAGATACCTAAAGATAAAATAAACCCATAAAATAATTGGTTGGTTAATTTAAAGTAAATGATGCTTTCAAATATATTACAACATACGTATTGTGCGAAGAATCGATGAAATAATGACTTAATGGTTGTGACATGTCTTGATAAACTTTGGCATGTTCTAAAGCAAAAAACGGAGTTGTCGCTAGACATGAGAAAACTACTAAATCCTTCTAAATTCATCTCTTTAAGGTCTATATCACAATATTTATAGTACAAATCTTCATATCCTTCTTTCAAAGTGCACTAGTTCATTATTGAACAATAACATTAGCTAAAATATTCATTTAATAATTAATTAGAACGTACAGTAAAAAAAAAAAAAAAAAAACCTTTTGAACGCCAACAAGGAAACCTTTAAATTCCCGTAATGTTAAAATATTACCACGGTCTTTTGCCAAAGAATTAAATAGCTTATCTGTCAGGGAATATGTCACATAGAGTTTTTTTTTTTATAATAAAAAATTATAAAAAAACATATAAATTTACTATAAACTTTAAGCTCAACATTCTTTTCAACTTATAAATTAACTTATTTTCAAATTTTAGTATTAAGTATATCGAAAATAGTAGAATAAGCTACTCTATCAGCTTTCTTCCAGTATTGTTTCAGCCATAAAGAATGTCGCTTTCTCAAATGATTTAACCCTTCAATCATATTTTTTCTATGCAAATATAGTTTTTTCAAATTGTCAACCCATATATTAAATAATTCTAAAGTCGGAGCAACTAAGAAGGGCTTTATATTTCCCAAAATCAACATAAATGATGTTGAACCATCGAGACTCAATATCCACATTAAGCTTGAAATGTTCCCTATAAACTCGTATTGCATCACCAACTCGAAGTTCCTCAATACTTTCAATGTTGACTAATGAGATGAGCAAAGCACGAAATTAAAATAAAGATCAAAATACTTTTATCAAATTTATAAAAAATAGAGTAATTTTTACCTTTTCCAGATCTTTTGGAGTCCCATTGAATTTGACCTTGATCAATATCTATTTTGAAGATTTTTTGTTGTTTCTTTTTTAATTTTTTTTAATGAAACTTTTAAAAGAGTAGTTCCCTCAGCAAGACATTGATCGATAATGATCTCGTTCGTGATTTCGAGAACAGAGTATGAAGTGGAAGAGTGTTTTTGTCGATAAATGGTTAAATAATCTTGCATTACTGTCCTTATTATTGGTTTCTACGGTTCTGTCTTGTTTACTATGATAAACTAGATCCATTTGCATAAAATTTAATTTTCAGCTATACAAGGACGTTGTTACGATTTAAAATTAATATGTGATAATCAGGGGTTATTAGTTTAGTATGAAAATATATCATTCAAGATCTGTTAGTATTGGCATAAATGCTTATCCGAAATTATTGAAAAACCTAAAGATTTAATGAAGGAGGAAGATAATAAGAGACATCTCAAAATCCTTTATTAATATCCTCATATAGTTGGTAATTCTGATTTTAAAATAATATGAGATGGAAGAATCGTTGAAATAACTTTATGAACGGGTGATAAAAGACTTTTATTTAGATCTTTTTCAAAGATTTTTTTTTCGAGAATTTGAGAATCTAAAAATACATAATTTGTGACACCTTTGACAGACATTTGAAAAAGATAACAAATATGAGGTAGACATAGAGTTTACTGATTCCTTATTCGAATAATATTTGAATAATTTGGGTCAGCAAATATTTATTCGATATTCGCCGAATGACTAATATTCGTATTTATTTGAATTATTTGTTAGATAACTATTATCTGATTTCGAATATTATTCGAATAATAAATATGAATATGAAACTCTAGGTAGACGATTTTTCAGAGTAATTTTAGAGTCTTAAAATTTTCATCGACCAATCTTCAGGAACAGAAGGAAATTAGGATTTTGCGAAATTCACCGTTTTTTATGACATAATTCCAAAACCTAATCTCTTCAATTTGCAAATTATCACACTTAATAAGTAAACCAAAAAATGTTCAGAATCGAAAATAATGTTTGTGTTTCGCAAAAAAGAGTATACTTAGTGTTATAACCATGGGAGAGACTTGGCTAAAGTGAGACCAATTAGCTCAGGGTTACAAGCATAGATTATATGAGATGAATGTTTATAAAGGATTCGGATTTAATGATAGTCGTTATTGAGGAATGTAGTTTATTTGGTAGTGTCACGGTTTTAGAATTAAACCCGTGACTTAGATGTGACTTGAGATCGGGGCTTGTATATTTCTTTTAATTTTATTTGTTTACTTTTCTTAATTGTTTATTAAAAATGATATGGTAAACAGAAGGTGGCTGATAGATTACAAGCCAAATGCGCGCAAACGTAAAGCCAATGACAGGAGGCTTTTTAGATTGTGAGCAATCTACTTGTAAGCATTGGGAAGTATTGTGGAGAAAGATAGTATAATAGCGTAGTAGCTCTTAGTAAATTAAAAGGTATAAAAGGCCTGGGTTTGCGCCTTAGTTGAGTTTCCTCAGACTATTCGTCTTAGACAAGGTCTCAGAAGTTTTACGATGTCTTAGTTATAGAGTTTATAATAAGAATCAGATTCTCACATGTGTTGTATTATTTTATTAGTTTAGTTAAATTCTTTTATTGTATTGTCCTATTATTGTTATCTTGCGTTTCTTTTTGTTACATAATAAATTCCCCCCCCCCCCCCGATTAAGTAAAGTTTGATCTGCTAAGTGATAACCCCGACTCAGATTTAAGAGTT